ATTGTAATTTTTTAATACAACGATATTGCTTATTTTACGCCGAATGTCTAGCCGGCTCGAAAGCTTATTAATTGATTCTTAAAATGCTGATTGTTGCGAGGGCATCGGCCTCGCGACAATAACATGTATTTATAAATAATAAATAAACTATGTATTTCAATTACTTTCTTTATAATTGCATCGTTTTGACTATTGTATATTGTTAATTATTGTAGATTTTTAAGGGAAATTTATAATTTACAAGTAATGTATGTCTATTTTTCATTATTTCTCACATGTTTGTACATAATATAATATATGTCGTATAATATATGTACATAATATAATATAAATCTAATGTATATTTACATAAGTATCAATATTGTTATGCAAAAGAAACGAATTAAATATATGTTATATGCAACGATAAGAAAAATACTTAAATACGTATCGATAGATGGATATCATGGCCTAATAATCAAGTTTTCATATATTAATAAACTAGTAATTGATCGATGTAATATCAGATGTAATGTAATTACTCTGTAAGATGAGTTTCATATTTAATTCATAAAATTGATTGGTAAAAAATTGAAAATGCTGAAAATGTAAGATTTAATATTCCGCAAATAACTGTGTAGAAATACGCAATTTAAAACAGGGAATTTGCATAAAAGATTTTGAATTATAAACATCTACCAATTTACATTAACTTGTTATGAAAAATGAAAGATTACAAGAAATTAAATTATATACATTGTTTTGCGTGAGGCATGTATTAAAACATATTACTGATGAACAAAAGAGATAAGAATTTCGAAGAATAACTAATAAAGTAACACAAAACAAAGTGAATTGTCAACAAATTGACAGGATTGGAATCTCTTATATACACTTTTAAAAATATAAAGGCAGTGAATATACATATCTTTTCGTTTCTCTACCTGAAACTGCACATTAAAGTGCAAGTTTGGGTTAATATCGCCTATACTCTTTCCTCTCTATGAAATATTATCTAAAAAATAATATTTGGTAATCGCTTTACTGCATCGAAAATTAACTGCAATAAATATAATTGAGGTATGTAAAATGTACACATACATATTTTACATTCCACAACACTCCAACATTATATATATTCAATAGATATAATATATATACCTCACTTTTTGTAAAATGAGGTATATATATATCGTAGGTATACATATACTATATCGACGCCTGAACGAAGGAAGCGCGCATTCGCCGAAAATCAGCAAAGATCTAGTAATTAAGTTGTGTTTAAAATTACGATTGCAATTTTATTTGAGAAAGAGGGAGAGAGAGAGAGAGAGAGAGAGAGAGAGAGAGAGAGAAAGATTAAGTAGCCTCGAAAAAAATTACGATCGATTCTGTTTCAGCAAATGTTTAATAACATTTTTTTGGTCTGCAACAAGTGCTACGTACTCCTCGATGTACAGAGGAAAATGTCCGTACCACATTACGGAGTGCGTTCATATCTTCTGCCATGACTTGTCAGCAGCAATGTAAAAAATTTCCCAGATAGCCTAATGCAGCGAGTTTGCTTTGTTGTTGTCAGCAAACGTTGCAGCAACTAATTTCGAAAAACTCGGGACAAGGTGCTTCAGCATTATGTCTGTCATGTTGTCCTCATGTGAATTTAAATTCAGGTGACGGCAAATTGATGGCAACA